CATCCTTACATATGAGTAAGACGTCTGCACCTTGCCGCCGCCGCTGCCGCCACCCAGGGCATGCTTGGCCGGCTGCCCTGGCTGCCAGCAACTGATGCTACACCACTGGAATTGGCTGTCCTGAGGAGAATTCTACTTGCTTGTTGTTTACAGTAAAACAAGGACAACAATACCAAGAGAGTCTTGTGGCTCCTAAGATGATCACACACTTGTTATTTCAGCCCAAGTTGTGCTAATCTAGAGTCTTACTTTACCATATACATGGTGTGAGTTAGAGTGTGTATACACATGCATGGCAATGGAAGGGGAGTTGTGTGCAGTGGGGTCAGAGGGAAGTGAAATTCCAGAAACGCAGATAGGGACCATTCAAATTAGAGTTATAATGTAGGCAGAATAAGCACAGGGACCCTCTAGAACAGCAGTGGTAGGCTATGAAATAAACCAACTTGGAGTGACTTTACATCTGCAAACTATTGCCTCTATTCACATCCAAATAAATTGCACTGAATGCCTTCAATACTTGTAAGCCGTTTCACTCTGCCACCTCACTCTGAAATTGCTTCCTTCATGCTTGTCCATTCTAAGATCAGTGGTTATTTCTGATGTTTCGTATGACTAGACGGGCCTTTAGTCTGATCCAGCAGGGGTTGTCAATGTTCTTAATGCACAGATTTATCTCCCCCACTGCCTCCAACATCCTGCTGCAAGCCAATCCAAGTGTGCCAAGTTCCTTTTGGCAGCCTTTCCTAACTCTCCTCCTGATGGACAAGGTGTGTAGATGGTGATGAGGATAATAATTTTTAAAAGTGACTCTATCATGGAAGGCAACCAAGCCAAGCTTCTGACAGGGATTACTTTGTGGCTGGGTCGTAAATTCTCGTTTATGGCCCTCTCAGCCTAATTGGCAAGGGAGATTTACAGCGTAAAGTCGGAGGGGGGTGGGGCTTGTGTTATCAGTCTAATTAGAGGTATTTATAGGCTCTGGCTTTGCAGCAGCACCATAGTCTTGTCTTTTGGACCTGGGAAAATGGCAATCAAGTCTCAAGTCCTCATTGAGAATATTCCCCAACTGTCCCTTGCATTGACCAGAGTTAATTCCTATTCCCTGGCCCTTCTCACTGGCCAGTTGCTCAGTGTCCCCCCCCCCTCTCTCACACACACACATCAACATCTGCATTCATGCTTCTTTGGCTAAGTTTGTGTAAAAATCAAAAGATATCAAGACATCAGAAAGTGAGGGCAACAAAGTTAACCATTAAGCTGGCCTCTGGCTGGAAAAAAAATCCACAGCGCCCACGCTGATCATAGGTCAGGGAGGGGTGTGGAGAGCCTTGACTTTTAGCAATCATTGGGGAAAATGCATTGCTGCCAACCATTGACAGAGAAAATTAGATGCACTTGTTTACCTCCGTGAAATTCTTAATATACTGTGTTTTGTAATACATTCAGGGAAGGCTCGGTGAGCCAATTATGCCTCTTTCTGTCAAGAGGAGTCAAGCACTGCGAGACTCACACTGGACTCCCTAGACCAGGAGGAAAAGGTCAGGGGGTTCCACATCCGACATTCAAGACTCCTCCGGAGAGTCAGGTACCACCTGAATAACCAATAAGGGTGCCACAATTCTGTTAAAAAGGTGGCAGATCCAGGACAATTAGCTGTAATTCCTGCACTGCAGGGGGTTGGCCTAGATGACCCTAGGATCCCTTTCCAGCTCTACAGTCCTATGATTCTATTATTCCAATTCCCTCAGCCTGGACAATTTTTCCACCATTAAAAGATTCTGAACAACACTCTTTTTTTTTACCCTGGAGCTTTTTTCACAGGCAGAGAACACACTTTTGAGAAATTTGAGGAACAGTTTTCATAGACGCATAGAATTTTAGAGTTGGAAGGGACCCTGTGGGTCATCTAGTCCAACCCCCTGCAACGCAGGAATCTCAACTAAAGCATCCATGACAGATGGCCATCTAGCCTCTGCTTAAAAACCTCCAAGAATGGAGAACTCACCACCTTCCGAGCGAGTCTGTTCTACTGTCAAACAGCTCTTACCATCAGAAAGTTCTTCCTGATATTTAGTCAGAATCTACTTTCTTATAGCTCGAAGCCATTGGCTTGGGTCCTACCCTCCAGAGCAGGAGAAAACAAACTTGTTCCATCTTTCGTGGGACAGCACTTTAGATATTTGAAAATTGCTATCATAACTCCTCTCAGTCTCCTCCATTCCAGGCTAAACATACTCAGCTCCCTCAACCGTTCCTTATAAGGCTTGGTTTCCAGACCCTTGATCATCTTGGTCACCTTCCTGGGCACATATTCCAGCTTGTCAATATCCTTCTTGAATTGTGGCACCCAGATCTGGACACAAGGCTCCAGGTGTGGCCTGACCAAGGCACAATAGAGTGGTACTATGACTTCCCTTGATCTGGACACAATACAGTGGTGCCTCGCAAGACGAAATTAATCCGTTCCGCAAGAGTCTTCGTCTAGCGGTTTTTTCGTCTTGCGAAGCAAGCCCATTGACGGATTAGCGCTATTAGCGCTATCAGCTGTTTAGCGGCTATTAAAGGCTTAAAGGCTTAGGGGATTAGCTGCTAAAAGGCTATTAAAGGCTATTAAAGGCTTAGCAGATTAGATAAAGGGGGAAAAGCGAAAAAAATCTCTAGACTCGCAAGGTATTTTCGTCTTGCGAAGCAAGCCCATAGGGGAATTCGTCCTGCGAAGCAACTTCAAAACGGAAAACCCTTTCGTCTAGCGGTTTTTCCGTCTTGCGAGGCATTCGTCTTGCGGGGCACCACTGTACTTCGGTTGATGCAGCCCAGAATAGCATTACAGTGGTACCTCGGGTTACATATGCTTCAGGTTACATACGCTTCAAGTTACACACTCTGTTAACCCAGAAATAGTGCTTCAGGTTAAGAACTTTGCTTCAGGATGAGAACCGAAATCGTGCTCTGGCGGTGCAGCAGCAGCAGGAGGCCCCATTAGCTAAAGTGGTGCTTCAGGTTAAGAACAGTTTCAGGTTAAGAACGGACCTCCGGAACGAATTAAGTACTTAACCTGAGGTACCACTGTAGCTCTCTTTTTTGCTGCTGCATCACACTGTTGACTCAAGTGAAGCTTGTGGTCCACTAAGACCTCCAGATCCTTTTCACATGTTCCTGCTGTCAAGCTGGCTGTCCCCCATCTTATATTTGTGCAACTGGTTATTCCTGCCTAATTGCAGAACCTGACATTTGCCCCTATTGAAATTCATTTTGTTAGTTTGGGCCCAGTTTTCCTACCTGTTGTGGTAATCTTGAAGTTGTGTCTTCAGAGATATTGGCTACCCGTCCCAGTTTGGTGTCAACTGCAAATTTAATGAGCATCCCCTCATTTACTTCATCAAAGCTGTCCATAAAGATGTTGAACAACTACGGGCCCACAACAGAACCCTGTGGCACCCCACTTGCAACTTTTTCTCAGAATGACAAGGAACCATTAGTGAGCACTCTTTGAGTTTGGTCAGTCAACCAGCTACAAATCCACCTAACAGTCCACATTTTACCAGCTTCTCTGCAAGAATACCATGGGGGACATAGGGTTGCCCACAACCTAGTTTTGACATAGGGCTGCCCACAATAGCCTGGAACTCAGCCCCATAAACACTGCAAACCTGGCCAGTCTGGGGTGGGGTGGGATGTCAGCAGATTAGCAAAGTGTTCTCTCTTTCTTTCTGTGTGTGCAATTTCAGTTCCAGCGCAGACGGCTTAAAAGAAGGTCCCTTTGTATTCTGCTGGGAGGCTTGTGGCCAACAGCTCTCTCTCCTTCTGAATCCCTCACTATGGAAAAAAATCCCTCACTATGGACGATTGCAACTATATTCCATTTCAGAAGAAAGCCTGAGAGCAATCTGTCTGGTACTGGAAGGCAGTGTGCCATTTACATTGCAGCAACCGGTTGCCACCAGAGACCATCATTTGGGCACAGTTTTCTATTGGACACAGAGTCCCGGTGAAGGGGAAAATATATATATCCAGCTCTGGCAGACCCATGAAGAAGTTGCTGAGTCTCTCTTCTACAATCTGCTAGTCCAGAATTTCCCAATAAAATTTGTATTTGTCTGGCATTAAACTTGGGTTCCTTCAGGTGCAGAACAGCTGTGGCTCAGTGGAAGGGTGCCTGTTTTGCGCAAAGAAAGCTCCGGGCTCAGTCTTCAGTGGCATGTCCAGGTAGGGCTTGGAGTGACCCCTGCTTGAAACCCTGGAGAGCTGCTGCCAGTCAGTGTGGACAAAGCTGATCTGGCTAGATCAAGGATCTGATTCAGTATAAGGCAGCTTCCTATATTCCTCATAAAGTTTGAGGGGAGCAGATGCTAGATTTGGCAAAGTGCTACAATACAGGTCAAGCCAGGTCAAGCTACAATTTCCTGTGATCGGGGAAACCCCTGGCAGAGGAGCCACCCCGAGTCATTAACCTGGCAAAACACAGAGCTATTTAAAGAAACAAATAGGGTGGCTCTGGCCACAGGGCACAGAGGGGAAGGCTGCCAGGGTAACTGGGCATGCTTTCAGAAGAAGAATCAGGGTCTTTAGCATGAGGCTTGGAGTACCTGGAGGGAAAGGCAAGAACCATCTTGGTTGGCTGGCTGAAGGCAGGCTGGGAGAGATGCCTTGGAGTCCAGTGCTGCACTGCTGTGGTGAGATGGCCATGCTACAAGATCTGGACCCCGTCTCACTCAGATTTCACTGGCTACTGCCTACATGCCTCTTCTTTTAAAATATTCAGTAAGCTTGCTTTCAAATGCAATCATACAACAAGAATGCATGTTACAAGACAGTGTTGTGTAGTGGTTAGACTAGGATCTGGGAGAGACCATAGTTTGAATCCCCTCCACAGCCATGAAACTCACTGGGTGACCTTGGGCCAGTCACTCGCTCTCAAACAATAAACAAGCAAAGCGAAATTAAATACCTTCATTTTCTTAACCTTTGGCCTGATCAATCTGCTTGTTTGATCAAGGGGAAATGGTCCTGGCTCAGCAGTGGAGCATCTGTTTTGCATGCAGAAGGTTCCAGGTTCAATCCCCAATGGCATCTCCATGTGGGCATGAGAGAGACTCCCCGTCTGAAACAATGGAAAGCCCCGCCATTCAGTGTAGACCAGGCTTCCTCAACCTCAGCCCTCCAGATTTTTTTGGCCTACAACTCCCATGATCCCTAGCTAGCAGGACCAGTGGTCAGGGATGCTGGGAACTGTAGTCTCAAAACATCTGGAGGGCCAAGGTTGAGGAAGCCTGGTGCAGACAATACTGAGCTGTGTGGTCTGGGGTTTTTTTTTACAAGGCAGCTCCCTATGCTCCTATTTAAACCAAAACATGAAGACTTACTTTATTTTTAGAGGAAGGGATGTGGCTCAGTGGCAGAGCACATATTTTGCAGGTGGAAGGTTCAGTTCCCAGTAGCATCTGCGAACTTCTTTCTCCAAAGCCTTGGAGAGCTACTGCCTGTCAGTGTAGACAATATTAAGCTAGATAGATGCAATGGTCTGACACAGTCTGGGGCAGCTACCTTTTATAATAATAATAATAATAATAATAATAATAATAATAATAATAAATTGTATTTATACCCCGCCCTCCCCGGCCAGAGCCAGGCTCAGGGCAGCTAACACCAGTAAAAATTACAGTAAAAACATAATGGGGGGATGACAAAAAACCAAAACAATTTAAAATACAGGTTAAAATGCAATTTAAAATGCAGCCTCATTTTAAAAGTAGCCCATAGAGGAAGGGAAACATAAGGGTCGGACTAAGTCCAAACCAAAGGCCAGGCGAACAGCTCTGTCTTGCAGGCCCTGCGGAAAGAAATCAGATCCCGCAGGGCCCTGGTCTCATGAAGCAGAGTGCTCCACCAGGCTGGAGCCAGTGTTGAAAAGGCCCTGGCCCTGGTTGAGGCTAATCTGACTTCCTTGGGGCCGGGACCTCTAGAGTGTTGTTATTTATGGACCTTAAGGTCCTCCGCAGGGCATACCAAGAGAGGCAGTCCCGTAGGTATGTGGGTCCTAGGCTGCATAGGGCTTTAAAGGTCAAAACCAGCACCTTAAACCTGACCCTGTACTCCACCGGGAGCCAGTGCAGCTGGCAAAAAACTGGATGAATGTGATCCCGCGGCGAGGACCCTGTAAGGAGCCTCGCCGCGGCATTCTGCACCCTCTGGAGTTTCTGGGACAGTTTCAAGGGCAGCCCTGCACAGAGTGAATTACAGTAGTCAAGCCTGGAGGTGACCGTGGCATGGATCACTGTGGCCAGATCAGGGCGAGAAAGGTAAGGGACCAACTGCTTAATACAGTGGAGATGGAAAAATACCACTGTCAAGGCTGCCTCAGGTCTCAGCTCACAAAAGACCAACGCCAATCTCTTCTTACATACAAAAGTGTTTATTGCAGTTCATTCTTTGCTTCATATTCGAGGCGCGCAGCCTCACGTCTGTACGCTTAGACCGTTGAAGTCCCCTCTGAGTCAGTCCCTCCCCTGCACCAGTTTAAGAGCCTTGCGCTGCTCCACCTCTTTCTCTCTTTCCTTTTCCTCAGGGTCTTCCTGCCCGCTGGGGTTTCGCCCCCCTGGATTCCCCTGACGCGCTATCCCCCGACTGCTCTTCCCCCCTCCTGCGGGCTTTAGGACCTGGCCCTTCCTCCGGGCTCCCTGTACTTCCGCGCGCCTCTACATTTGAACGTGGCGCGCGCGCCCAACCTCTAACTTTCCTTTTGACAGTTACACTACTCCCTTCACTACTCCCTCCCCTTCCGGGAGGATGGCTTGCTCCGACCTCCCTCCCTTCTCTGCTGCCGGAGCTGCTTCCCTGATACACTGGAACCTCCACCCCCTTCGCTGCACTCTGGCGGGGAGGCTGGTCCTGACGCCCAGCTGCCACTTTGGGATCCCCGCTGGCCCCTGCTCCTGACACGTCCCCCTGGGGCTCCTGGCCTTGACCACTGGCGCCCCTTCTGGGAATCCTCTGATTCGCTGGAAAGACTCATGGAATCTCTTGAGTCATTGTCATCCTCTTCCTCGCTGTCCTGGGATTCACCCCCATCGCTCTCCATCTCCTCCCTACCCTGTGCCTCTGTCCCTGAACCCCTGACAACCACCTTTGCTGTGGCTGCAACATGCACCTCCATGGAAAGGGAGGCATCAAAGGTTACATCCAAGCTCTTGACAGAAGGCGCTGGCACTAATTGAGGCCCCACAAGAGATGGGCCCCCAACCCCATGTCATCCCGACCCAGCCAGAGGACCTCTGTCTTCGAAGGATTTAACTTCAACCGGCTCCCACGCAGCCATCCAGCCACAGCTTCCAAGCATCTGGTCAGTGTGTCTGGGGCCAAGTCAGGGCGGCCGTCCATCAACAGATAAAGCTGGGTTTCATCAGCATATTGATGACAACCCAGCCCAAAGCTCTGGACAATCTGGGCAAGGGGGCGCATAAAGATATCTCATACCTCCCCTTTCTCTCACACTCTTCCCTTTCATCAACACAGTCCCTTAAAGTCTGATTGGCAGCAGACAAAATACAAAGCAAGGTGGGCAAGTCAGGATTGTTTCTTCAGCCTTGTTTGGAATTATCACTGCTGAAAGCCAGGCTGTACTGAAGAGTTTGGTGGCAGCTCTTCAAGACTGCAGTTGGGCTTGGGAGCAAGGCCTTGGCATGAGGACATAAGGACACTACTGTGAGAACAGGAGGTTGGACTAGACAGGTCTTTAGTCCGATCTAGCGGGGCTCCCCATATGAAAGTCTACCATAATAGCAGAACCTCCATGCCTGGGGAAGTTGCTGGGAATCACATGTAGGAAGAGCTGCTGTTGCGCTCAGGTCCTGCATGTGGGCTTCTCAGTGGGCAATTGGTTTGGCCACTGTGGAAACAGAATGTTGAGTTAGATGGGTCCCCTTTGGCCTGATCCAGCAGACTATTCTTACATTCTTATAATTGGTGCCCCATGCTGCTTCAGACAGAAGGAGATTTCTCTCTGTGCTAAATCTCCAGCTCTGTGTTGCATTGCAAAGTTCAGCAACCACTAAATCCTTGAAAACAATTCATTCCCAGCTGCAAAGTGCAATAGAGACAGGATAATCACTATTAATATTAGTTATAGCTATTGATTTCCACTTTAAAGGATTGATTTTCCCATCCCAGGGCTGCCTTTATGACTCTCTTTGCTGAAGATGCATCTTGGGGGGCCTGGCGCTGCTGAGTGTCTTTGGAGCTCAAATTAGAACCAGGGTCAATAAGATGACAGGAAAAAAGTATCCCAGATCACCACCAAGAGCAGAGGGTTTTTTGTATAGGAAAGAATTGGCCAGTTAGACGCCAGCAACGTAATGCTGATAATTCCTCCGGGGGGGGTGTCATATGATGTGGGCACATCCTGTGGCTCTTTCTGGTCAGAAATCATATACAGATTCTCTGTGTTTGGGGAAAATCCTCAATATCTGCATATCTTTGCGCACTTTTAATTTATGTTCCTGAGATGTGGGGACATTGAACCAATGGGCGATGAACTCAAAATTCCTTATGGTTGGAAGGATAAACACCCGCCCTCCATTACTCCATGATCTGAATGCAGAAATATTATCAGCTGACATTAAGGATAAGGACAATCCATCAATCATGATTAAACATCTATATTAATATGAGCTGCCCAGGCATTCAAACCCATAGTAAAATGAAATGTATCTTACAATTGTCAATTCCGTTAGGATATTTGTTTGGACACAAGGATTGCTTATATTGATATATATGTTTAAATTAGGAAGATTGCACTTATTGTTAATGTCAGCTCACAATATTTCTGTCACATGAGGGCAGCTCGGTCAATCACGGCCAGAGACTTCACCATCACTAGTACAGCCAAAGCCCTTTGCACATTTCAATACAGATTTAGCTGAATAATTGCATTGCATCAAGGCATTATTTTATTCTACCCCACCACCACCACCTCGTTTTGAAATGCTACATGGGCTCATCGTACAAGCTGTCTTATACAGACCATTTGTCCAACTATGTCCCTCCCTCTAAAAATAAATAGGTTGTGGTTTTGATTTAAACAGGAACATAGGAAGAGGCATTGTATTGAAGCAGACCATTGGCCCACCTATCTCTGTGTTGTCTACCCACTGACTTTCAGAGGCTCTCCAAGGTTTAAGGTGGGGAGTCTCTCACAGATGCCTTTGGGTATTGAACCTGGGGCTTTCTTATGCAAAACAGATGCTTCACCCTTCCTCTAAGAAAGAAAGTAAGATTCCCATCCTCGTGGTTCTGATTTAAGAAGGAAGCTGCAACCTACTGAATCAGACCATTGGGTTCCATCTATCTCAGCATTGTCTAGTCTGGCTGGCAGCTGCTCTAGACAGTTGCAGGCAAGAGACATTCCCAGCCCTGCTTGGAGGTGCTGCTGGGGACTGAACCTGGGACTTCTTGTGTGCAAAACAGATGCTCTACCACTTAGCTATGATCCTTCCACATCTGACTCCCAAGAAACACTGGCAACCTTGCTTTGTGCTATAAGTGTTGCCAGGGAATGCAATATATATTTTATAGCACCATAAAGTAATTATGCACCAGACAACAGAGACTAGGAGGAATGATCTATATTACATTTAAAGGACAATTAATTTTTTTAAGTGTTGTCTCTTCCACTCACTGCTGAGGGAGCACAGACAACATGTGTTAGCAGGACAGGTGTGCAATGAGGCTTTTCCATGAAAAGAAAGTGCTAGCTGTGATTCCTGAACCTAGATGACGTTTACAACTCTACAATACTGGCAATTTCCCATTAAAATACAGTGGTACCTCAGGTTACATATGCTTCAGGTTACATACGCTTCAGGTTACAGACTCCGCTAACCCAGAAATAGTGCTTCAGGTTAAGAACTTTGCTTCAGGATGAGAACAGAAATTGTGCTCCGGTGGCGTGGCAGCAGCAGGAGGCCCCATTAGCTAAAGTGGTGCTTCAGGTTAAGAACAGTTTCAGGTTAAGAACAGACCTCCGGAACAAATTAAGTATTTAACCCGAGGTACCACTGTAGCTTCATTCCCACCCCCCA